GCGAAACCCGAGTCAACGTTAATTACCGGTCGACGATAATGCTGTTTTTGTCGCTCTCCAAAATGAAGAACAACACTGAACACACACACTCATATACACACTATATAATATAGGGTCCATAAAGATAATATATGACGGAACCCCAAAAAATGATCATTAATTATCTAAGCGTGCAAAAAATTACTATTTTATCGTTTTTGTTGCCAGTTAATCGCGTGGTTTGTTAAATAATAATAATAAATCGGAACAGTTCTGCGATAGTTAAAGATAATTTCGACTTTATCTTGCTATTTTTGGTGGTTAAGTATAATATCTAGGAAAAACTTACTAATTAACTTAATCTTCTATTAAAACAAAAACGCCATTTTATAATTCATTTTAAACTAAAAAAAATACTTAATTGGTAGCTGAAAGATAGAATACAATTTTTTTCTTCATTCTTGTAAGTCATATTTAGCTTATAACCTTATAGAGAGCAAATAAAATTAAAAATCAATATTTCACTTTTACATGTTTATAAATTATATTTTTTATTGAGCTTAACTAAGTTCATGCAAATAATTTATTTGCTTGTTTTTTATAAAAAAAATGTATTTAATCAACCTTCAATATGAGTAATAACGATATGCGAAAGTCACATCGATCGACGAAATTTTGACGGACGAACTTAAGTAGTGTGGCGAACGGGGTCAATGTGATTGTCATCATCGATGGATTTAATTGTAACTGACCGAGTACAATCGCAGAACTTCTTGATAACATTGCAATAGCGTGGCTGGTATAATATCGTGTGCACGTGGCTCGGAAAATCTATATAATATAATCAGAGGATAATCCGGTACCCAAGATTATTATAAGAGGGTGGTGCATCCTTATACCTACAGCTTGATTAACACTTTCACATTGTGTTGTGGCTTTTGAAGCAGCGGGTGGTAATACATTGTTTGACTCGACCAAAGATATACCATATTGAGACTTACTAATAAGATATTTTTCGACTTGGTGGTTTTTTACTTTATTGAAATTCAGATTATTATGAATATTTTGGACGATATTTAGTACAAACCAAATCCAACAGACCTCTTTATAGTTTGTTATTGCAATGACAGTTTCCAATAGACGTTTTAGAAAATTCTCCAATAGTTCTCTTAGCGATAGAGTCCATGTCTACACACTCGTTAAATAATATTGAAATGTCTTGAGGTGAATATCGCTATTGGTACAGCTACGAACGATGGACAGAGATTGTTTTGCGTCAATTTAATGCATGTGCAATCCAGTGGCTATTATGCGTGTAGGTACATTTGGCAATAGTCGATTAATGAGGTGTGTCCACAATGAACCGATTATTACCGCCCTAATTACGATTGTCGCTAACTGAAATTCAATACTCGATTACCAGTTAAGCGAATCGATGGGCCAAACAATGTTATACAACACGAAATTCCCATCAGCCTTTTCAAAATGGCTCAATGGTTCGAACGCATCGATGAATGAGAAAAAACAAATGGTTCGTCCCACATCATGTGTATAAATATTGTGCATCTATCAGTAGAGTTTTAAGTTTTTAAATATTAATATTGATGTCAAGACTACATTGTATCTACATTCGTATAAAAATAAAAGAGCATACATTGCCACTTCTTCATTTTCCCTTTCAAAACCGTCTCCTCAGGTGTTTTTAATATAGGAGGGATGTGCGATGGCTTATCCATATCTTCAATATCTAAGAAGACAAGAGAATCATAAACGATATTTAACCTTCTATCGTGTAGCTTTTGCCGATTTGGCAGAATTTTCGAGGTATCGCCAAGGTTCTGCTATGTCATGTAGGAGGATGTTGGTAAACAGTTTCTCTGCATATATTTTTGACCAATAGCATCTTTTTCTTCTCCTTATGTCGTGTACTTTGGGTCGACTCAAAGGTGCATTGACTATGGACTGCTCACCCTCATCCCCTACACGATTATTACGAACGTGGTATAATTGGAAGATGAGAACCGAGTCAGATGAGTCATGAAAGAAAAAACTGACCCTATGTAAATTAAGTGATCCAGCATCGTTAGTTTTATCCCATGTCAATGGTCAATTTTTGTTTTGTCCCATCTTCCATAGTTTTATTGGGTCAGTGCGTCAATAGCATAAATCAACCTCATTCCGTACCCTTCGAAACGGGTCAGTAAAATAAAACCGTAATTTTAATTTTAATAGATAAATAATTTATCCGTATCCTTCGTTTGAACGATGAGACCAGTTTTGCTCTTTCACACGCAGTCCATGCATCGATAGGACCACAATGAAGTGTATTGGTAAAAAAATGGTCAACGAACACCAGACAGAGCGAGTCGTAACGTTTCACGTTTCCACGTGGGTCGGCGTGGAGAGTTTGAGCCGTCTAGGAGGTCGTTCCCTAAAATGCGTCACGTAACGTCTTATAACAGCACAGCTCGTGTAGTTCGTCTTGAGCCTTGGCCGACATCACGCGCTCGTTGTCCCCAATACCGTCGAAGCGAAAAAAAAAAAGAACACACACAAAAACCATTGCGATAATTGTGTTTGAAGTGTGATAACACAGTGTGGAGTGCCCTAGTACCTAACGAACAATCTGCGGTCGTCTCGAACAATATATTATTATTTAGAAGCTATTTATTTTTAATTTGCGATTCCTCGGGCTTAACCTCCTTTTCGAAGGAAGCGATACACAACAAATAATGTGTAGTCGGCGGCGGCAAAGAATACGCAAAAAACTATTTCGCAACTGGTGGCCCGAGGGCTTAGGTGTTGTATACATGTGTTTCCGGATAGACACATTCTCTTTCAAGCGACGGCGGCTGCGATTAGGTAACCCGTGTGATGCAGTAATCCACGTGTTTATTGGCACAGCCAACGTAAACGGTTGATCCCGGATCTTTGTGCAAAAAAAAAAAAATTAAGAAAGTAAAAAATTAAAAGCAGTTATAATGTTACAGCATTGATTTAAAAAAAAAATGTTTTAAACGATTTGTCTTCTATCTAAATAGAAACGTAATTTGAACAAATATTTGAACTGAGAACAACCTTCTTCGAAACGTCAAATGCAATCTTAAAACTTTTTTTTAACCACTTACAATTTGTACTTATCACACTTATCTCATATCTCAGTCTGTCCACTACTATTTATATGTTTTTATGTGATCCACAAATTCGGCATACGACGTTGAACGTATGTTATTTAGGAATATTATTGTGCAATCAAAATTAAACTCTTCGATATGATGATTTATTAGTCGATTTCAAATGTATAGGTTCTTAGTAAAATCCATGACCAATTATAAGTTTGATGGAAACGTACTCGACTAATATTTATTATATTTTAACTTTTTCTAATCATGTAATCTCTTATTTTCAGTATTTAAAAACCTAGAAAAAACCGGACTTCTCAAAAAATTGCGGATGTTAGCTCAAATCCAAGACCGTATATTATTTTGAAGTCTCCGGGAAACATATTTATATTCGATTTTAAATCTCGTGTCAGAACTTTAGTTCTCAATTTTTGATTTAGTGTAATAATATGTTATTGTATAACGAATAGCAGTGAGATATACAGTGCTGTACAGAGCAAAACAGCTGACACGGGAAGCGCGATGGCCGCCGTGGCGTTCAGGGTTGAAAAACAAATTTGAATTCCTACCGCGATTCACTCGAAATTCGTAAGGTCAATACGGTATAATTGCATAAATATATAATAATATAATAATAATAATAACGTATAGGTATGTAATGTACAGCGTTTTCAAGGTATACCGGCAATCGCTAGCGACCGGACGGCGGCGGCGGCCACGCATCCTGATACACATCATTTATGTCATAGTAAATAGTAATGATAATATTTTTTTTTTTTAATAATAAAGCTCTTTTTTCCTAACGTAGCCAACCGAAGTACTACTTGTTTTGAAATTGAAGACTTTAGTCGTGTGCGTTAACGTTAAAAATGGGCAAAATAATATGGGAGGAAAATTGTAATAATAATAATTTAGCAAGCGGCTTGTTAATTATTATCAATCATTTGAGCGTTTGAAATGCGCCAACCGTTCATAAATATTAAACTAGTGTAATGCGGAAATTAGTAGAATTATTATTTCCGACAACAGGAAAACCGACGCTCGGTTTTTTTTTCTTATTATAGTATAATACAATTATTCAACGAGAGTATGTTATTAACAATTATTTATATGGTCCCCTATTCAGTATTTAGTTTGGTTGTACCTAATTGCCTAAAATTGCATTAACGAAGCTCAATTTGTCAGAGAATGACAGACGGTCGTCCGTTTAAAAGTTATAGTTTGTGTAATAATTGTAATAACAATAATTATTATTTAGGTTTAAAACGGTGTAGAGTTGGTTTAAAACAAGTAAAAATACGTCACCAATAAGGGTGAAACGTCATTAAATTGTACCTAATATTTAAAATATTTTTCATAATCGCTTTGACGCCCATAGACTATGTTTTAAGTCTTGACCAATATGTCGTGTCGTTTAGTGTTCATCTGGGCTCTCCAGTGAATAATATTCCAGTGTTAATGACTAATGTATTCAGTATTGTAGTATAAATTCAGTCGTTTATACCTACACATTTTACGACGCAGTGCACTAGTTTATTTTTCAGTAGTTACGAAATTTGTTTTTGCACTTTATCGGTATTATAATTACAAGTATTTTGATGGAAAAAAAACTGGAACTTGAATTATGACATTTTGTTTTAGTAAATTGATTTTCTAAATTATCAACATGTATATTATTAGTTTTGGTATGGATCGAATTATGTACTATTATAGTGCACCTTACTATACTGATTTTGACGTTCCCGTTTTGAATTTCATAATAACTTAGCATTCGTGAAATTCAATAACACGGCAATCTGACCGACTATTATCGTCTGGTACCATAACATTTCGCGCGTAACTCTTGTGTTGTTGTGTTTGCACTTAAACTAACGATTTTTTTTTTGTATTGTTCTTTAGAGAAGGAAACGAAGAAACCGGTGGTAAAGCGATGATGTCCTCCGGCGTGGGCAGTTCTCCGGACGTGGTGGCCATGGAGCCCAGGAGTGGCAGTGTGGTCGTCGGCGGAGTTGCTGGCGGTGGCGGAGGTATAGTCAACCCAGCTTTCCAGCCTCCGTCCCTGCTCAGCCAACAAAGCACCGTGTGGACCCGACGCCAGCAAGCAGTGTGCGTCCGGCATGCGTTTAAGCACTACGGTTCGGCCAGCAAGCCCAACCACGTGCTCAGCAATCTCAACATGACCGTCGCAAAAGGCACTATGTTAGTATACCTGCACTCGATAAAGCTTTTAAGTTACATATGACTAACTAGGTATTTGCTGCTTTAAAACTGTAGTGGGTTTGCAATTCACCACTAGCTGTGCCAAATTCCAGTCGCTATCCGCTGAAGTTCTTGTAAAGGAAATGGCTATGACTTTTTTTTATTAAGAGGCGATATTTAACAAAAATTGTTCCATATGGCTTATTTCAATTTTGTCGATTTGTTAAATGGTACATAAACTACATATACCGGTGTCATAAGTGCATAGTTTTAAAGCAAAAATATTGGAAGAAGAGCATAGTTATGATGTTGGAGGAAATAAATGTCAAAACATCGTCCCTGTCAAATTGTATGACACTCGTGCATTATGTTATAAAATTATAGAATAATATTAGTTTTTACATTTTATTTTAAATTTCCATTAGCTATAATGAATTTTAAAAAAAATTCTTAATTGGAAAATATTTTTCGTTGGGTTTCGGTTTCATTATCATTTATCCGGTTTTTTATAAGTGTTAATTGGGCCTTAAATTAATTTAATTTATCACAAAAAAAAATATTTTCCGCAAATCGCCTTTTATGTCTAATTGTAATTTGTATCCCCTTATTGCCATGTCAAATTTTCACATATGGATTTCTTTGGTAGTTCTTGTCGCTTTTTACCCAAGTTAAGTTTACTATAAATACTCGGTTGCCTATGTAATACGCTTTTATACTGTGAACGGATCATGTCATCTGATTACACAGTAATTCAAACAATGTCTAATAGCTGGGCTGCTTCTTTATGCTCTGCCTATTAGCAGTCGGTTGTGTATTTGCCGCTGCATTTTGCCTCTGTGTTGTTGCTGTTCGTTTGCGATGTACAATATAATGTATTTCTCGAGGAAATTTCAAGATACATCCTAAAACAACTTTCTACCAACGTTTCAGTGCATCCTCCTAAAAAATAAATAGACAACGTATATTTTGAGTTGATCAATGTTTTTTTATTATTATATATTTACTATAACTAAAATGTCTCAATTTGCTTAACGTAAAACATAGTGACATCCAAGGTGTACTCTAGAAAAACGTATACTAGTAAATTAATCAAGTACACCACGTGCCGTTACACCATTAAGATTTTTTATGATTTCAGCTAACGAGTTTCATACTCGAATGATTAATTTACATTTTTAGTTCCCTCTTTATTTGCCGACTTAACTAATTCACGGCTATTGCATTACTAAAATAAAAACAACACGTGTCGGGCGAAGCTAATGGCACTCGAAATTCGTTCTTCTCGCGATGATCAAGTGGTTTTTTTTACAATATTTTCCGGATTAACGTCTTTTAAATGACTGTTAAGATGTTGGGATGATGCATCGTTTATAATATGCCGTATAAATATGCGTTTTAAATGAATTCCAGCTCAGCTATAACATTTCATTAATCCTGTTCGTGCGAATACACTACTGGCCAGGAAATCACACTGTACAATTATTCTTTGTCTAGCATTTCCGGGTTGGCGCGTGGTCGGTTGGACGAAATACAATATTTAGAAAAAAAACCCTGACTATATACGAATGTCAACATTTTTTTATTTTAATTAATTAAAATCTGTACGTTTTGCACGTCGAGTGTGCTATTTTTTTTGTTATTGTCTTTACGATGCAAACTTAACGCGGTTCCTGAACCTGCGCCGTGCCGTTAATGTACACACACGTGTGTTGTATGTAAAGAGAAGATTTGCACGATTCGGTTTCCCACAATGATAGTGTATAATGTTATGTAAACAACAGAACCTAAATCGCCTCCAAAAATGTTATAACCAATGTTTGGGCGGTGGTCGCATGTAGGATATATACACACACACTTTCGTCTGCTTAATACCTTAATATAACATAATATTATTATGTCTCGAGTAAATACAAAATATGTTATCTTGCAAAATTCGGTTTCCATGAGAGATTCGCCGGCGACATAATCGCCACACACACATATGCGCACATTACCCTTGGACCGACCTCCAAATAATTATAAGTGAGTACTGGCAACCGGTTTAAAGGTTTCGAACGGCGGCTATAATAATATGATGAGTGTAATAACAATACTGTAATATAATGTTTTTAACGTTATCATCGTTGTTACGTGTAAAACGCGTACGACCGAGACGATCTGACTGTTTCTTCATCCGCGGGCATAAGCCACATATAATAATAGTACTACCGCTGACGGTATTAAAGCGTTTGGTTGTTGCCAGTATTTTCAAAAGGGCACTCGACTAGCATTTACATACATACATTTTCGGCACTGCACAGTAGTTATAATCCGTTTCAAGGACGGGCTGCCGGCCGGGTTTAAACGATTTCCAATTGCACGTTAGACACGATGACACTTATATCGTCGACTAGGTACACTCAAAAAACCTCTTTAATCGTATGCGCCGTGTTTTGTTTGTACAAAGACTACAAACACTAGCCAATGTGATCTTTGCAAAGTATTGCCGCCGTTTTGTAGGGTCTGAAGCAGTCTGTGTACGCTCAAAATATATTCATAGAAGGATGTTTTACAAGCGACCAAGTCTCAAGGTCCGAGAAACAGCGAATTCATTTTTGCCGACCAATAACAATAATTACAATATGTGTTGAAACAAACGTTTGGTCGACACGGTCGAATCTCCTTGTACTTAATAATATATGTTTATGCGATCAGTTCTTTTTTTTTTACTCGCTCATTAATTGCACGCCGATTTAAATAACTAATCTTAATTGACCAGATGCCACTGATTCGCTAAAATGCCTTGTTCGCGGTCGCCGTGACTCGACGAGAATATATAATAATAGTATTCCACAAAGCTTGTATTCCATTCGTATAATTCATCTATCACAAAAGTAGATATCCACATTATGCATAAAAATTAAGATACCTACTCATAATCAACTATTTTTATACGGTTTTTTTGAAGTTTTTGTTACGCGCCGTTTGTTAGAGCAAAACTTAACGGAAACCCATTAACGATCTAAAGCGGTTAAATGCAAAACATGACGTTACGGACGGGTTAATAATAGTAATACTTGGGTATTGTCAAGTTGAATAACACCGATTAGCCTACGTCATACCTGTACAATCTGGGTTTTACCTGATTGCGTTAAGAGCGCCGGCGAAACCGCAGCGCTGCAAATAAAGGATGTCGGAATTTAATGATAGAATATTTTACCATACGGTTGTTGAAAATAACAATTACTTAATAATGAGTTCAACGTGGGTTTTTTTTATTCAGACTGGTTGGTTTTTTTTTTTTAAAGAAAGATCCAAACGAATCTTTAACGTACTCCGCCTACGTTTTTTTAGTCGCCCTTTCCATGTTTGTTACATATTATTTATATTATATGTTTGACCGATAAAGCATTATCCATATTATATTGTATGTGCGCTAGTAGCCGTATTATATAATTTCAATATTAATTTACTCGTTTCTATTACAGCTATCTTGGTGGGCGATTATCAAAATTTGAATATTTACACCTGGTGGTTGAACGGAAATTTGCATAATATCTAATTGGGTTTAACGCTTAATCCTCTTTGGACCTTCTCTAATTAACATCGTGCATTTTGGCCTAGTATGTACATAGACGACCACGTTGTGTTCCTTGGTCGAAAATGATGTTGCCAACACTTTTTGTGTGTGTGTGCATTCGACTCCTGTCGAAAATGTTGGTTTTTATTTTTCCAATTGTTTGTTTTGTTTTACAGATACGGACTGCTCGGTGCTAGCGGTTGTGGAAAGACTACTTTGCTCAGCTGTATTGTCGGTCGGCGGCGACTGAACACCGGACAGATCTATGTGCTCGGTGGAAAGCCCGGAACCAAAGGCAGTGGAGTGCCCGGAAAACGCGTCGGATACATGCCTCAGGTGAGCGATGCCCATGATAAGTCTTGTCCAGCCAAAACCTCAAACTTTGTTTCTCACACAATTATAAGGGTGGTTTTTCACCCTGGGTCTTGATAAAGCAAACCTTTACCACCCAAGATGATGCGTTGTCTAAATTTGGACTTGTGCCACTGGAAATACTTTTTATAATAATATATTGTAACTCCAATGCGTTTGATGATGCATCTAATTAGGCAACGCTAAAAGTAAAAAAATTAGATATAGCGTTGACCACAATAATAATATGTCCATTAGTCGACTCGAACGGTTTTCCCAATCTTATGCGTACGACCTAGGTTCCTAAACGTGTAAATCATCTGATCTCACAACGTTTTGTGAACGTCGTTTCGTCGATTGTAAAACAAAATGACCAAACTAAACTAATTCGAGGTTTTATTTGCTAATTAGCGTACCGTGAGAAACACATTGTTTGTTTACGAAATATGCCACAATACTTATACAACAAGTGATTTTGGCCCTGTTGCCTTTACCGCACACGATGAAATAGAATAATAATCGTAATGGTCATCACCATATTATTGTGAGTCTAGGACCCACAAAATAATAGGTAATTGTCGATTAACCATTCGGTGTTACAGTGCAAAATTCATAAGGGCAACGTTTTTTGTTCAACAATAATTATTTCAATGTAATTTTACCTTAAACCATTGGTGGCCAACGCGCTAAGTATATTGCTGTAATTATAGTATTTTTAGTGCAGCTTATCCGTGTTTGATCGAGATGAATCATTCGCCACCATCAAGTTCTAATGTCCTTCGTACTAGTGTATATTATTTTTAGTTTAAACTGATATTATACCTGTCTAATATTAGTGGAATATTCGGGCTCATTAGCAGATACATTTTTATGTTATAAGTATTTTCATGCACGTCATAGTGATTGGGGCCAGTTTATAATTTTTTTTTAATTCGCGTTGTCTGGTTTTTACATTTCTTCTTAAAAACATTATATTTTACACTTCCTAGCCGTGTAAACCGGTGGATTCCTATTAATATATGGTAATGTATGCCGGCATCTGGAAACTTCCGGTTTACGACCGCAAAGGGTTGTCGTCGGTACCGGAACAGCGAGTGTCTTAGCTACTATCCCAAGGACCGTCGTTTAACGTCTGTCGAAAAACCTTTTGGATGACTCGGGGGCAAGGCAAGGTCAATCACTGTGGATACAAGTCATTCCAGAGTGGACGGCGGCGGCGGCGACAACTTTTCAAGGCGCATGCGGTTAACACGCGCTGGTTCGGGATAGCCGTTTTTTTATTTATTTTTTTTATTATGCTATTGAGGACGACGCCAAGGTCACATATGAGCCGTATGAGTCGTCGTCAGTACGATATTATACGCAATGACGGCTTAATTAACGATTAATCATCGTAAACGCGTTTAAAAATTGTAAAAAAAAATTATTCATGTTTATTTTTTTTTTTCTGAGTAGGTACTTATTGTATAATGTAATAATGTAACACAAGTTTTAACGACTGCGTGGCAAAGTCCTCGCATAAATTCCACATACTTAACACATTAGACCTCGGGTAGTGATGAACAAAAAAAAAAGAAGCTACTGAAAGATGTTTTTCCGTACGTCATAGCATGAAACATTAAACAAATGTTTCGACTTTTTTTATATCGTATATCATTGTATTATATGCCGAGAAGGATTTCAAATAGGTATATCATTACTTTAACCCTTCAGGAAATAATTCGGTTGTGTCAATACAACGACAAATACGTTCGAAAACCTTCCCCCCAAAAAAAATTTGATAATCAGATACCTGTCCAGAGTATTTCCAAAATTTTCTTCAGCAGCATTTGGTTGTTTAACCACTGCCGAAATTTGACACCTGGGGCCCACTTTGTCGATATGCGAAATTCTAAATTAAGCGCATGCGTTTTGGTCAAACGCTCTGCTTTTCGACTAAATTGCCTTTGCAGATGGCTCAATTAGAACAACTCGATTTCTATACAATTAATAACAAATAAACAATATAATCAATCATCATACCCGACCAACACTTAATCTGTCGGTGTGTTTTCTTTAGGACAATAATGATACCACTATAATTAATTGTTATTAGAATGCGGCGAAGGTACAAGGTAAATAAAATTTGTTAAATTTGCCAATGCTAGATTTATAGATTGTACACGCGCGTCCAATATAAGTGTTTGGACAAACCGACAATGAGAGCTCATCTACAAAATAATATTTGACACTCACATCATGCCGGTTAAGGTCATAATATTATGTTTTATTATGACGTTCACGCACCCACCTGCGTTAACCGGAGTAACCAAAGAGAATATAATACAAATGTACTTCGGTGAATTTGTTTTCCACACGGTAACACTTGAGCCGCCCGTAACGCAATTGACGCTTAGTTTTAATAACAACAATTATTTTGTTCCAATAATAAAATACGGTCATACCTACTATACAGCCAAGGCGTGTGATCACTGTATACAATAATAATGTTATAATACTAGTATTATTGTTATTGTTATTATTTGTGTCGAACCAATTTTAAGATATTATCATCATGTAGAGGTATAATTATATATTTTTTTATCCAATGGTCCGATGATTTTTGCGTTTTTCCATTCATTTTAAAATATTTCATAATAATTAAAGTTGTCAATAATTCTATATGTAGGCAGATAAAGAAAGAGAGGCGAGTGGACTGATAATATTTGCTTTCATTATAAATTTAAAAAATCGTTTTTATGCAAATACATTTTTAATGCTAGTAAATGACTCTGGCGCATAAGACATATTTTTAGCCTTTGATATTATGCCTTTTTTAATTTTTTTCTAGGATAGTGATTAGTTAGTTTGTCTAAAGTCTGCAGATTTTTTTAATTAAAAAAAACTAGATTTTCTTGAGTTTGTAGAGCATTAAAATAAGAAATAGTGTGTATAGTCACAAACGAAAAGAAAAAAAATACAACCCCATCAAAACTGCGGTAAGATACCTAGTAGTTTTGCAATATTAATTATAATTTCAATTTTTTTCCTCGGTCAAACCCGTCTACCGTCCAAGATGTTTCTTGCGTCATTCTTTTAATACGTCATTTCTTGGATCTCCTCGCAATCTGTCCTTAACCGATACCGTTGAGCAAGCTTATAAAATGTCAACCATACAATGCTTTATGCCCATGTTAAATGATGGGTAATAATAATTTTGACGTTGTACATTACACATACATTCAATGTATCGGAATAGTTTAATCAAGTTTCGGCACCATGTGTAATTTCTTATAATTTTTGTATTTATGATGTACAGTATGATTTTACTAGAGTATAGCTATGCTGATTTCCATAGATTAAATCAATATCGCTGTTATCAGCAGTTGTAACAATATTGGGTTTGTTTAATTGTCCATTTTTATTTTTCCCATTAAAAAGCGATAAAATGATTATCTCGAGAATAGTTTTATCCGGCTCTTTCTCACCCTGCTTTTTTGGTTTAACTTAAATTACCATCCGCTTTATGGTACTCGAAAAAACTTTATTATAATTTAACTACAACACTATTTGTTTATATAGTACCGCACCAGCGACGACGTTTAAGTTAGGTACTATTTATTACAGGTATTTGACAATTTTACTACGGTGACACCGCCGTTATACAGCACATTAAGCCAACCGCACACTATAACGATATTATAATTGATATATTATTATCCACATAGTGCTGCAAGTGGCTGTACGATTTAATTATCATAACCACGCACAATACAGCTAACGAGTCGAGAAGTCGTTTGTCTAAAATTAAGCACGGCCCGGTTTATATTTTATTCGAAATCTAGCAGCCATAAAGTGATAAACGACATTTCCCGTCGTCTTCGTTTCAGGATTGTTCTGAAGTCTACTCAAAATATCTTTAGTCCTCGATTCTCTGTAGTCAGTTACAATGTGTGTATTCACACTGTAAGTTCTCTTTTTCTACAGTCCTGACTCTATTTCTGATCTCATTCGATTCGTTGTTTATACATATGTAGTGTAAATGTTTTTAAACGTCTTATACATCGATTTGCCACACATCTAAATTGTTCTTTCAACCGGATTTGTGTAGATTAATGCAAAGTTGCTAACTTCTCCTTCAGTGTTCCCGCAATGATTGTTGTAAATAAAAATATAACATGGTTTACGACGATCTACATAATGGACTCTAGTAAGATAGCTCGATAAGGTTAGGTCAAATATGTCTTCTCTGATTGGTCAACTTGGTCAATGTTTGGTGGCATATTGTAGTTGTTGTAGCAGTTCTGAGTTCAGAACCTGTTGGATTGAAGATTTTTCTAGTCGCAATACCACATGTTCTTTAACTATTACTCGAACCTCGTATTTTGTTATTATCAATTATGTTAATACCGCGCTAATACACATTTATACTCGACCGCGACCGAAGCGAAGGTTACAAATTACAACAGAAAAATTCAACAACAACTATTGTAATACCTACTGTAGAAATTATTGCTTAACTCGCATAATAATGTTATTATCCTATGGATAGGGCTATAATAAAGAACCATATTTTCGAACATTTCTGTAAACAGGTACGTATACCTGTTTCTATTATTTCAGAAGTAACGATTATAATAATATTAACATGTAACAGCCAATTAAGTTTTCTAAAGAACTGCGCAGTTTTTCCACGTAAAAGTACATCTGTACAAAATTAAATACCAATCACTCAACAATTATGTATAGTTGTATTTTTACACAGAACAATTATTTAATTCTTTCAGAAAAGAATGATCTTCTGAAGTTATTTGTATTCCTCCGTTGTTGAGAGTGGGATGCAAATGTTTAATATCAACAAGTTGCACCTGAGCAGTTTTTCCTTATACAACTAATAATTGATTTTTTGTATAAAATAAACGTATTGTTATTTAATCATGTATTATTTGACGGTTTCAAATAATTATTTTTAATACTCACAATTTATTCATCTGTATAAACATAATATTATGGTCTTATCTATAGACCACACGTGATTACTAAGCGTTACTGACGTTTTGATTACTAAGCAAAAATTATGAATTCATAATTTTTAATACATAAATATATAATTTTAATGGAAATTGCTATTTTGAACAAAATACAAATGATATTGTAGTTCGTATTTTGAATGGTTATTAGAGATTTATATTTTTTTTTATGTAAATATTGCCTGGATCTGTTTGTGTTAATAAATGAATATGGCAAATTGAACTTTATATTCAATCCAATCGAATACTTTAGTCTTTTACTAAACAATAGATAATGTGGTGTCTTTTTAAATATATTTTATATAATTTCCCATTTTCCGTTTTCAATTATGTTTTTTTTTAAATACCTAATTCTTATTAATAGCGTTAACTAACGCCTAGTCGAATTCACTTTTTTGTTTTGTCTAAGAGACCCAATCGTACGAGTTTGATAGTTTTTATTATATTATTATTATAGAATGTGTTCACTTATTGGAATTACGATTTCTCCGGCACAGACGCTGGTCCTACCATGCAATTTCCCCACTAAAACCCACCGACTGTAACGGGCTTATACACAGGCGTCTGTCGAATATCTGTAGTACCAAATTGTATGTATGTAGTGTACTACTAGTAGACACTAGATAGTAGGTATAGTTGTAGGTTTTTTTTTTATTTCGTTATTAACACAATGCAAAAAATTCTAGTCACAAACGTGTCGTACACTCCGAGAATTATTGTCTTTTGCTCCGTTCGTGTGCGCGTGTGTTATGTTTAAACCGCATACCCATAACCATACATTAGTTTGCACAATCGCGTTACCAAATATTAATACAGGTACCTACGGGTTTTCTTTTACCGTATCCGTGTGCACTCACACAAGCGCATTACACTATTTGTAAACGCATTACGCCCGTATCTATTGAACGACGTGTGTACCGTTATTTCGCGTCCACCGACGACCGCATCGCGTTTTTAATGAACTACATACAATAATAATTATCGTTTTCGTCCCCAGTGGCCAATTAATTAGCAGTTACTCGTGCACACTTGGGTTAAAGCCATTTTATTTATGAAAAATGAATAACAAGATGGCCAAAATTCAAAAATATCATTACTATTTGTTTAGGACTTTTGACCATCACTCTAAGTTATAATATACTCAAATGACAAAAATTTAACGTATAAAAGTATTTGTCTTTTTAACACAAGCTTTCTTATTTTCTTATGTTCAGTTCTTTCTAAAAAATAATCAATAAAATCGCCTGCTGTAAAAAAAAACTGTGAATTATTAGGTTTCTTTTTTAACAAAACACATCTTGGTCTTGAAACGTTTAGACTTGCCATTTCGAAATTCTCTATTCGGTATATATTTATGTCCGGCTCTGTGTAGAATATCATAGACCGACGATTTTTTTCCGCCTTCCCGGCGATATCATTGGAGTTACGACCGACCATTGTGTTTTAGAAGAAAAAATAATAATGTAGAGAAAAGCGATCCTCACAGTTTTTATTCATACATCATATTGTGGTGTCATTGCCGTTTGACTGCCCCCTTTGTCCGTCTAACGTTTTAGAAATTGATGGATTACCAACGGAGCAAAGAGATTAAAAGTATACCAATCGCGTTTTGTGCTACTAATACAGCCACAACTAAAGCTCCTTTCTTCGTGTTTAAGATCCATAAGGGTAGGATATTTGCGTGGAATACTGCTGGCTAGCGTTGGCCGTTCAAGTTAAACACCCGGAAAGGGCATGGCTGTTTCTGAAGGCTGTCGTCTATTAACTGCCAATGACTGTGCCTGTAACTAGATGGATTAAATTTTATCTTTATCTCGTCTAGCAATGAACCTGACATTAGCCTCATCCGAAACAAATGTACATACCTATCTATGAAAATGCTATAATAAAACGAATGAAACATAATATTAATATATTTTAAAGATTGTCTGTTGTTGTGGCATGGTGGTATAAACACCGCATAAAGTAATAGTTTATATAATAGAAAACATAGTTTAACTCCAAAATTGGTGACAACCAAGTTAATTTTTTGGAATCCAAAGCCCAATAAAACTGATATTTTTGGATTAATTCAAAGCAGTTGCTGCCCTTACACAAACCAACTGGGTGCCTAACCATTCATTAAAAAAGATTATTCGAAAAATACCTAATTAGTATTTGTATACCTCAATACTATACTGATTAATCATTAATGAACGGTGTTGTTGATAAATTGGTCTTTATATAAGCTTAATATTTGACCTTCAGTATTTTTTACCTTATAAGTATTTGGTTTTGGCTGTTGTATTTTTTTTACATAATTAATACTTGTGTTGACCATCAATATTAACTGTTTTGCTTTGTTTCATTTTATTGCTATAGGAAATAGCTCTGTACGGAGAGTTTTCCATAAAAGAGACTATGATGTATTTCGGATGGATATTCGGCATGGAGACGACCGAGATCAACGACAGACTGCAATTTTTGTTGAACTTCTTAGACTTGCCCAGCCAGTCCAGACTGGTGAAGAATCTCAGGTGACTGACGAAATGCATGCCGTTTATCTGAACCCGGAAATAATTGCCGTTTTTCTTATATTTAATACTGTTATTTATTTTTACAGTGGTGGACAGCAGAGGAGAGTGTCGTTCGCGGTTGCCCTTATGCACGATCCGGAACTTTTGATTTTGGACGAGCCGACAGTCGGTGTGGATCCTCTGCTCCGGCAAAGGTACAGGCGAAATTCCTTTTGATTTTATTAAATTGATTATGTAGATAAGAAGATAGAATTTTAATTGTCTCTTGTATTTTCAAACAGTATCTGGAATCATTTAGTTCAAATCACAAAAGATGGCCACAAGACGGTCATAATCACTACACATTATATCGAGGAAGCCAGACAAGCTCACACGGTGCGTACACTTGATCGAGTTACCGATTCGGTGGTATAATGTGTGGTAAACAATAATAACATTGTATCTTTTTCGCCCTTTTAGATCGGTTTGATGAGAAGCGGTAGACTGTTGGCCGAAGAGTCTCCGGGCGTGTTGTTGTCCATGTACCACTGCCAGTCGCTAGAAGAAGTATTTTTAAAATTGAGTAGGAAACAAGGTTCGGACGGACAACCACAAGAGACTCCCGTAAACATATCAAACAACATTTCACTGGTGAGACAGTTTTGCGACTATCTTAACACTATCCTATTACCTCTCCCTCCCAAGTGTCCCAACACGGCGTTTTGGATAGGCAATATATTAGACACCCGCGTATATGTGTTTACTAACTCTGTTATCCCGATTGTAGGCGACATTGAACTGGGGCAAAAAGGACGAGCCCGTTTACGTTACCGAAGAGAGCGGCGTCGTGGGCCTTAACTTCCACCAGTCCAAAGAGGTTCTCGTCCAAGACCAGACAAACGGCGTCAACGGAAAGCTATCGGAAATGCAAATGATGGAGCCGCAATACGATTCTAGCTGTTGTGAGCTCACCACCCGAGGCAAGACAAGGGCTCTGTTACAAAAGAATTTCTTGCGAATGTGGAGAAACGTCGGGTAAGCCGGTCTCAAATCGAAACCACCCGTCAATCGAATAATCTTATTTTTCCGTTCGATTTCAGTGTGATGTTATTCATTTTCGCACTGCCTGTGATGCAAGTCATCCTGTTCTGTTTGGCCATCGGCAGGGATCCGACGGGACTACATTTGGCCGTGGTCAACAAGGAAATGAACTGGGAAACCCGGGAGTGTCCGATCTACGACAACTGTACACTAAGCATGTTCTCGTGTAGATACCTGGACATGCTGCCCAAAGAGACAGTAGTGCTAGTGAGTATCGGAGTGTTTTGGTTTTAACGTGAATTTACACATGCTCGGTCGCTAAAAACGTTGCGTTTTCCCACAGGACTACTACCAGGACCCCGAGAGCGCTATAGAAGCCGTTAGAATGGGTGACGCTTGGGGAGCGCTGTACTTCACAGAGAACTTCACCGACGCACTAGTGGCCAGGATGGCTTTGGGCCGAGAGTCCGACGACGAGACTTTGGACCAGAGCGAAGTCCGAGTGTGGTTGGACATGTCAAGTAAAAATAAAATAAAAAAAACATACAACCCTCGCGACTTTCATGCCTGTATTCCATTTAATGATGAGCTAACCGTTGCGTTTTAATTTAGATCAACAGATCGGTTTGATGTTGAACAGAGATTTGCAGCTGTCGTACAGAGACTTTGGACAGGGTTTGCTCAAGAGTTGCGACCAAAATCCAAAACTCGCCGATATTCCTATCCAAGTCAGTATTACAATAGTTTTAGGCATTTTTTAATAACACGTCAGATTAAAAAAAACTAACAAAATTAAAAAATGCGTTTCAGTTCAAAGAACCCATTTACGGTAGCTCCGACCCGAGTTTCACGGACTTTGTCGCACCCGGTGTCATATTGACGTTAGTATTTGAACATTTTTTTATTTTATTTTACTTAGTTATCAGCTGTTTTATTTATGGTTTTTTTTTTAAATTATAGAATTGTTTTCTTCTTGGCCGTGGCGCTCACGTCGTCCGCGTTGATCATCGAACGGACCGAAGGTCTCCTCGACAGAAGCTGGGTGGCCGGTAAATCATATAAAATAATAACAATAATGTAACTTGAGTGCAGAAGGCGAAATTTCATATTACTCAATTACCGGTTTGTGTGTGATAAGAAGAATCCAAGTAAAAAGCCTAACACGGTGACGACGGCATTAAACGTGTTCCTATTTTCTTTCATCGTTGTTTTGCGTAATCTGACGTCTCACGAGTATTCCCAGTTCGTGTCCTAAAAACAATATTGTTCTTGTGTACTATTTGTTTTGCATTTAAAAATCCAAAATAACTGCCACGTGCGACACGTTTTATTAGAAATAATAACAGTGTAATATATGCACCATCTAAAAACCGTTGCATCAATCAGGTCGAAACCCACGACAATAATGGTATAATTTATAACGGTATACTTATCTAAATAGTGTAATATATTATTACATTTTACAATGTCTCACAAGTATCATTCGGCCCGATGTCAGCTTCTAAGTAAACATAGATATTATATTATTATTATTGTGGAGTTCAGTTTCATAATCTTCTTGTACACGACAACGTTATGGGTTTTAATGTATTTTTCATCGTTTTTTTGTACGGCTAAGCTGTAAAAAATAAAAAGTCAAATAACTATCAGCATTCCATGAAAGCGCTGCTCTTAAAAGCGCCGCACACGCGGAGGTTAAAGTTCATCAGTTTCTTCCTCTCGTTGTCAGGCATCCGAGTGATGTTTAATCAAACTAAAACATAATAATATGATTAAAAAAATATAGTTTACTATCGGATCAGTTATGGTAACCGTAAGCGTATGTTTTACAGGTGTCACCCCGTTGGAAATATTGTTCTCGCACGTTATCACTCAGTTTGTGGTCATGTGCGGGCAGACAGCCCTTGTGTTGATCTTCATGATACTTGTGTTCGGCGTTGAATGCAAAGGAGACATCAGCTTGGTCATCGCGCTCACGATTTTACAGGGACTTTGCGGCATGTGCTTCGGTGAGTACCCATTTGTTAACCATCATACTTTATTGCTATAACATAACACATTAACTCTGTATTCGCTTTTCTACCCGCGCAGGTTTTGTCATATCGGCTATATGCGAACTCGAGAGGAACGCCATTCAATTAGCCCTGGGAAGTTTCTACCCGACGCTTTTACTCAGCGGTAAGTACTAAATAATCGTGGTATTGTCGTATGACGTGCAGTTGGCTACTGTTGTAGTTTTGTGAACCCTTAAACGTCAATCTTGGTCAACCTTACTGTAAACGCGGTAACTGTTTAACTATTATCAATGCGCTATGGGTAACTTAGTCCCGTTCTATCCAATTCACGGTTAAACGGACACTTAATTGGGTGATCCATATAAGATGATGGCGGTAGCAAAAGGGTAGTCGGCGATAAGAGCCACGCATATAAGGTCAATCGCTAATTTTTAAATTGACTTTAGTTTTGATGATTAGTATGACAGAAATGCAAAAGCAACTATTAGCTAGTTATTATGAATCGATTATACATCTTGAAAATAAGTAGGTATTTATAATTCCGTGACATTTTTTTTTTTTTAGTAAACGGTATTTTTTCATTATCATAAAATTATCTTTATTTTTTATTTATTTATATTTTTTTTTGTATGAGTTTCCATTTAGTTTGAACGTTATGTGTGTCATTAAATCATACACCGACGCGTTTTCGGTGGTTTAAACAGTGCTTGAACAATTAATAATGTAAAATATGTAAAACTCGACCGACCAACCGACCGCTATGGCCATTATGGTAATTTACTAAGCAGCAACCCCTTTCCGCACAGGTTATTGTTAGCAACACAATACGGCGGTTGCTGCGCTTTCATTTGCGGGTATTTGTTTTAAGTATGACTTTGTTTTGTGAATTTTTTTTTTTAGAAATTGTCCGGAATAAGAAAAATTGTCCAACCCGTGCACGTATTTTGTCGGGTCAACACACGTTTATAATGCGAGCTTTAAAAACGGGGTTTTGGCATGACCTAATAAAAACATATATTATTAATATTTGTTATTTTACTTAAAAGTACAAACCGTATATCTTAAAAACATATACCATATATTATGTGACCTAACCCCGATATTGTGTATTACACGACTTAACTTGAACAATTTTGAAATCAAGGTCAAGGACCAGAGTGCTTGGGTTTTGTTATTTATTTATATTTATTTTTTTTCTGTCTTTGTTTTCAGACGTAAACGACAATGGCAATATCGTCGTACATTTAAAAGTGGTCTCTCTTCTGTAATATCAAAAGAAATTTGCTTTTGTTTCAAACACAATTTTTTTTCACTATACTTTCCCCCCGACCACCGGTACTCAGGTAACATGGATATAGCGTGTATCCAATATAAAACGTCCTTATTGCGGAAAGAAGAGCTAGTCTATTGTCATCAAATATTTTTCTGTGTTGTAATTATTAATAATACATGAGATTTGCGGTGGCCCTTGGGAGATGGAAAATTTTCCAAGATACCTTGATCACGTGTAATTTTTATTAGTATTTGGCCCTTTTTTATTAGTTATTTTGTCTTATTTCTTCGTAAACGAAAATGTTTAAAAACTAAACTTGACAAAGTTTTTAAAATGAAAATATAGGTCGAATATATAAAATAGTTATAAAGAAGCAATTTGTATTGAGTTGTTACAAAAATGATAAAAGAAATGCTCGTGTAAGATAATAAGTTGTTTTTGTTTTTGTCAGCAACTTTCTTTGTAGCATTTTCGTATATTGTCAGGGGGTATACGCACTGTTCTAATGGGTTTTTATTTTTCATTGTGTTGCAGTATTATTAATTTCATTATTTGTAAGTTTCAATCCGTGGGAGGTTGTAAATTAATATGGCTAATGGTTATGCGTTTAATTTTCAACAAAAGCGATAAATATTTTATTACCGTTGTTTTTTTGTTTGTTTTTTGTGATACCGTTGATTTAAAAAATAAATATATAAAGACTCTGTCTCGTGAGAGGACGGTACTCTTGTTTACTTTAGTCTGCGCAGGCGCATACAAGAGTAACGCGTTTTGGTTTCCGTGCAGTGTCATTCTCTCGCGAGACAGATCATAGACCGTTCTATCTTTGTCAAGTGTTAACGTCTGACTTGACGATTGTACATTAGGTAACATTGGCTTTTGCACCAACCTGTGACCTAATCGTTTGACTTTGTATGTGCTACAGGTGTCATTTGGCCGGTGGAAGGTATGCCAGTGCTGTTGCGGTACGTCAGCTACTGTCTACCCTTGACCATGGCCACCACATCGTTGCGAAGCATACTTACCAGAGGCTGGAATCTGCTGGAGCCCGACGTGTACCTGGGCTTCGTGTCCACCATATCGTGGATAGTGCTGTTCCTGTCCATCAGCATGGCCGTACTGAAATTCAAACGCGGTTAAATCGCGAGAACCTCAGCTTCAACACGATTAGACCCCCCTCTTCTTTCCCCCCTCTACCCTTAATCTACCACACCCGAGTTGTACGTTAAAATATTATGTTAGTTGTTTGTGTTAATATATTTTATATGTGCGAGTGTGCGCGTTTGTTTACGGATAATATATTATAACATACATAATAATATAGTGTAGTATAATATAATATAGTAATATTATTATTATTATGGTGTGTGAAAGATGGGAAAAGGCCGAATGGCAATGGACGACCGACCGGCGCCGGAAACGTATACAACCTCTTCTCCTGCCGTACGTTCGGTCTTTTCCCCTTGTACCGCATAAAAACTAGTGACGATGTAAAAATATGGTATTCTTATAATATTTGCTCAGCATTCTTTTGTGACATAAGTTTTAAAATTACCGTCCAAAATTATTATATATTATATTATATGTAATTTTTATTATTAGGTATATTTTTTGTTTTTACTCAGTGACTTTTTATTACTTAATTAGGTTACAATTTTAATATTTATACACAGATATATATTTATAATTCTAATATTATATAAATATATATGTTTTCATGTATAATCTACATCACCAAAGCGCACATTTATATTTCTAAACCTTGTTTTTTCGTTCAATCGAAGAGCTGTCTGACTTTCTAGTGTTGCTGTTTTTTTTTTTAACAATTCACCTTTAAAAAGTTCTCAATGTTTATGATATATACATAATGTACACTTGTGTAAATTAATAAAAACAATAGAAAAAGTTAGCTAATCGGCCGCCAACAGCCCTTCGATTTTTTATATTGTTTTTAAATAGATTTTGTAATTGGTAAATATAATATAGTGTAATTATTTTTAATGAGGCAAAATCTGACGATTCGCGCCTTGGCTTTTTCCCGTAATTCAAAGATCGAAACAAATATATCTATTACTATCGTGTAAATATAATTATTATTTGTATTATTTTATTATTATTATTTTTATTATTATTATTATTATTATTATTATTATTATTATTATTATTATTATTATTATTATTATTACTATTAAGGTCGTGGAATATTAACGTTATTTAGAACCAGTTTATGTACCTAAACATTCGGATAAATATAAAAAATAATAAAAACAAATGACTATATTGAACCAAATCAAAAAAAAAATTTTTTTTTTTAGTGTAAATACAATATATACTTGTACTATTAAAATCGTATAGTACGATTGTTGTATAATTAATATATAGGTAATATAGCTGTTATTTCGGTTTTATATTTTTTCAGCGCATAAATTCGAGCAACTCGAAACTGAATTGCATTTTTTATAAACAATACGGTTTGTACATAAACACATATAATAATATTTTGTATAATTTTTTATTAAATTTTTGCTTTGTTATTTCGTTTAGCGACACACCCGAGATCCAACTGTGCATTCTATTTTAACCAATTTAGGATTTGTATTGTGATCATGATTATTTTTTTTTTTCAAACGAATAAACGAGGGATGAAAATTCCATCCCTTGTTATATCACACGGTGTGCATTCAAGTCGTTTATTGCGCGTATCGAATTACCGTTCTCTCTCTCTCACATACACACACACACACTACGCCTCCACGAGGGGAAGGCTCCCCCTCTGTATCTTTTACTGTATTTATGACTACATATATATGCTCTCGGTATTGCGTAATATACGAGGGTATATTATGAGCTTCGATAGCCTTGACATCTCATGATGTGGGCTTCTCGTCCGTGTACATCGAATGGAATCAAGTGAGAGGTAGCAGATTACACGGGGCGGTTAAAATTTAGGACACGTTGACAAAACGTTTAGTGGAGTTTTTGGCAAAACTTTTAAGCACCATAATATACATGACGAGGCGTATTCAGTGTTGAATTACTACACACTTACCTAATATTATAGCGTTTACTGTAATTAAACGTGCAGCCATCAAGTACACTAATTCGGAAAACGGATGCGCCGCCAATAGCCTAAATTGGAAGTTGAAATAATTGAAATGAGCTAATCTGTTCGTATGCATAGTTCGGCGTTTGTGTATTTTACACATTGCTAAAGTGAGTAGAACATTTTTTAGTTATTGACGATAAGTATTAAACAACTTGTCTTCTGAGTTGTAAGCATGTAAGTGCCTAACTGTTCGCAGTTTTTTATCTGCTACTGACACCTTATTTAAAATAGAAAAAAAGTAATATTCAAAGTACTAACAGATGCGTCATGAAGACACACCATGGAATGACGTCTGGTATGAATAAATTAAAACGTAGTAAAGAAAATGTCAATGTACACTGACACCTAACTTGATGTGCTGCGCCGTCAAAAAGTAGAATTAACATAAACCGAACATTTTTGTACGCTTTAAAGATTATTTCGAAACAAACCGTTTGCTTGATACAAAACAATATGACATCAAAGTGACCCACACGAAAAATACATTTGTAAAAATATTTGACTTTGTTGAAAATTAATAGCATTACATTGAATACCTATATAACCATTTTAATATGTATAAATAAACATATAGGAGGAGGAAGAGTGGGCAAGGCGGCAGTGTGATAGCGCTCACTGTCGCCAGTTCGACACTAGGTCATGGGCGCTCTGTTTACCGGGCGAGCAATCGTCCGGTGAAAAGGAAACGCCATCCCCCTCTCTCGCGACCCTTCCCGGATAGAGCTAATTCGTCAAACTACTAATTTTTCTTTAATGAACTCCTCTCCCAAAAAAAAACTAGGGATACTACACTTTGATTGTAGTCAATTTCTAGGTTGTTATGTGAGAGTGATCCGATACATGAGAAATAGTTTCTTTATAGTGTTAATTACCGATACATAGGAAACAACGACAACAAACTATAAATGGACAGACGATCAGCCGTTTACCTAATACTAAAAAAGTACAATTTTATGCACATTTTTGTCATTAAAATGATTTTATCTGTATTTTTATTTCTAACATCTACATATTCGCATCGAAACGTTAATTTGAAAGTGTTCCAACTCAGTATGGTACTGGCTTTTTGTTTACTATCCTTTTTTTAATTTTTACCAACTGAAAATAAAAATTAATTTTTTCCTTTTGCATATTCGGTAACGTTTTCAATTCCTGATTTTAATCACATTGTATTGGTATAAAGTGTACAAAAATACATTAGTATCCGCACAGCTCTGACCGTGTAATCTCTGCATTGAATGACGCATTGCTCATTGGGACTCGAATGTCACGATACACAATGCCTAACAATCGTCACGTCGTATTGGTACATTTAATACCGAGGACCTTGCGGTTGCAATACACTTTTAAAATTACTCGAATGAAAAAAAACAATATATTCGAACACAATATATACAGTAAATTGTCGGGTTTCTGCGCATTAACATATTACCTATTGTACCATCGAACAATTTTTATTTGTTTACAGCAATATTATTGTTAGCTTTTGTTAAATGTGTACGTAAAGTTGCTTCCGAGACAGATCCAACGAAACCTCATATCATTGAAAAACTATACTTATGTTAAATTATAATTCATATTATTTTTTATTTAACAATTTTTTACAACTTTTTTTCAGTTATAGTTGTTTTAGGAGGAGTGGCCGAGTGGGTAAGGCGGCAGTGTGTTAGCGCTCACTGTCGCCGGTTCGACACTCGGTCACAGGCGCTCCGTTTGCTGAGCGAGCAATCGTCCGGTAAAAAGGAACCGCCATCCCCCTCTCCGGCGACGGATTGACGACCCGTCCCGGAAGCGAATTCGTCAAGAAACCATCTCATGATGGCAGCGTTGGGCCTTCATGGCCCGTTAAGCTACATGATGATGATGATGAATAGTTGTTTTACCAAGTAACGGATATTTATAGCGTCTCACTTAAATGGATTTCATTTTATTATACTTATTATCATTCAGTGTTAAGTTGAGAAAAACAAACATACCAACATACGTTCTTGAGCTTGATCTTAAATCTCTGGTGACAGTTAGAGACTTATCAATACATTTTCTCGTTAGTAGTCACTATATCGCCTGACGTTTGTTATGAAATAAGAAGAAATATTAAAAAAACGTTCCTGTTCGACATGGGTAATATCGCTTTCGGAGATTTGACGGTATTGTAACTAATAATATAATGTCATTTGTTTTAAATTTTAATTAACGTGAATTCGACCGTTTGATAATAATTAATTAACAGGAATCCTGGTTAAGGCGGCCACCGAGCGCGGATGATCCTTTGGCCGCCGACAGCTTTGCAGGGGCGCACCGAGAAACGAACAAAGCACACACAACATACTGCACACCTACGAGTCGCACAAAGCTCTACAGGTGCCCTCCACCCTATGACCTACCTACGCCCGCAAAAGTCGGCCGCCGGTATGGGAAAAACAGCGATAAATCATAAACCATATTCACACATATTCAATACATATCATACCTATGTATAACATATACATTTTTATATATATGTTGTGTGTTTATCTCCTGTAGCCCGTTTAATCAGGCGTCAATGTTATCCTTACGGTGCTATTATGACAGCAGATTTTTTTTAAAAAACTAGGTTAAAACACGGTCAATATTTTCTCACATCAAACCCCCCCCCCCCCCCAAAAAAAAAAAAGAATAAACAACGACTATACTAAAAAATATCGCTGGAAAATTCGTAACCCTAATTAATTTGATATTCGATCTCCAATAAACTTCATCTCTGCAATCGACTAATTTAATTTCTTAGTCTGTTTTTTTACCTCCTTTCCTAATCATACCAATCTTCTCCCTCACACTTCCCTTCTACTCGTTTTCACTTAAATATAATTATATTATTTGACATTGTCGCTAACACTATTCCGGTCAATCCATAGTTTTTATACGTTTCACATCACACAAGGTAGTCGTTATTTGTAATATCGGTCATCTATATTATATTTATGACGTTTATTTAAAAAAAACATTTTAATATTCTTGAATAAAAACTAAATTAATTCGAAAAAATGAATAATCCATCAAATCCGGTTAGATATTCTATAATCATTT